AACCCCCCCGAAACATCTCAGCACAGAAACTGAGTAAGAAAAATGTCAAACATGCTCTTCCACCAGCTCTGTACGTGTGTCTACATACTGTTTTAAATTAAACTTGAGATTCGGTTACACTTTATTTGTTGAATGATAATGCTAACTAATGAGTTGCAGGTGTAACGCTTTGTTATACTCGTATTTACACCACACAGAGAGAGAGCACAGTTTTTAGTAACATAAAGGTAACAGAGGCCTCGAGGTCTTCTGCAGGAAAGCTGTTTACGTGCCTTTCAGTGAAACATGTTGGCCTCCCACTCCCTGTGCAGCTCGGTGTTAGAAGAATGGGGATTGTTATGTCGTAAACTGTGGCCTTGCAAATCTCTGTGTAGCAGAAAAATGTTTTAGCTGGATACTGAGATATGAAATATTCAAATTGTGGACATTGTGAGGCTAGAGAGACACTTCCACAGCCTGTAAAGAGGCAGAAAGGAAAGTATTGTTGTTTGGATGCTCTCCCTGTCCTGGTACTGACGTCTCCGTACTGATTCTGACTCGGCTGCTTCAGAGACCTCATAACTGCGGCTATTCCTCTCATTTTTTCTCTGTGTGTCTTTTTCTATGTGATCTGTCCAAGAGGGGATTTTCTCAGCCAAACAGAAGGAGAAAACTGGATAAACAAAGCTTAGTTGTGTCATCATAAAACGCACTCCCTTGTAAATGGTAAAACATTTACACTGTTCCCTTGTTTGCTAGTCACACCTAGTTTTCCCGTATCTGTTCATGTAGCGTTGCTCATATCAGTTCAGCTGAAACGCAGCTCAGGACGGCTCCTCCCGCCTGTGCGCCGTACATTTTGATCTCTTTGCTGACTGACTTTTTGTGTGTGTTGGTGTTTCTCTTTACACTTTCAGACGTCTTTGAGCGATGTTTGACAAACAGCATTACGAGAGTCCACCGGTCTACAGTCCCCCTTTCACCCCTCCACCCAACAATGGCTTTGGGCCCGCGGCGAGCTTCCACGGCCCTCAGAGCGACTACAACATGTACCCACCTCCACCGGGATCCTACTACATGGAGGACAAGCCGCAGCACTTCTACAAATGGCTGTCACCTCCTGGGATCATCAAAGCCATGATGGTCACAGTCATAGTGCTGTGTTTGGCGATATTCGCCTGTGTGGCTTCCACGCTCATGTGGGATATCCAGTACGGGTACGGCTCGGGAATGGGTTACTACGGTTCTGGGATGGGCTACGGCAGCGGCTACATTGGAGGCAGCTACGGCTCGGGCTACGGTGGTTACGGCGGATACGGAAACTACTACGGCTCCGGCTCCTACATTTCTCCTTACTCGGCCAAAGCTGCTATGATTGCCATGGCAGCCATTAACTTCGTAGGAGCACTGGCCTTCTTCATCGCCAGCTTCTCTAAAACCAACGCAGTCCGCGGCAGAAAGTACTTCCTGGCTGTCCTGATATCCAGCGTTTTGATGGCTGCCCTGCAGGTAAAACTGCTCTTTTTTTATTAACACACACAGAGAGGAGTGCAAGTACTTTGGTGAATAATCTTCTGAAAGCATAATATTCATGTGAAAACTTTATTTATTTGTCTCCTCAGTGTTTGCCAGGTTGTGCTATCATAACTGTAAAATATGGCAAATAATCAGTAAAGCAAAGAACTCTCGACAAATTCAAACCAAACAAGGTACAAAACCAAATAAAAACATCATTGCTGGACAGTTTTAAAGCTGTAAATATATTTTTACTAATTTTCTGGAGATAATAGAAGAGAACCTTCATCTGATGGAGCGAACTCTGACTCTGTGCTTCTGCATCACAGAGGAGACTGAAACACTTCACTTTACTTTAAATAAGTCAATTATTTACAAAAGCTAGCA